AAAAATATAGAAAACTATAAGGAGGAAAAATTATTCATTGTTTTGTCACCTAGAGACAAAACAGTACATTCAGCTCCTCTCCACTCTTAATAGTAGCTATAGTTTTTCTCAAAGTAGTGTCAGACTGCACACACATAATGCCTACTGAATATTCATCATATTTATTTTTTCAGTTGTGGTATTAGATATTTGCTTCCAGTTTTCACTATTTTAATTTTTTACTATTTTAAGTGTTTTCAGTAAATACTTTGAATAAAAATCTTTGATCTTATTGCTGGTATTTTCATGTTTTAATAGTATTTTATAAGTGTTATAGGGCATGATTATCGGAAGACTCAGCATCTATCACCAAACTGCATTCCATGAGGTAATTTATGCAGTTTACACTTTCACCAGTGTTTGGCACACCTCAGCACTCCTCACCAGCATTGATTACTATCTTGTTTTAAACGTGTTATATTGGTAGCTGAAAAAAAAATAGCATCTCATTGGGGGGTTTTGTTATTTGGGTTCAGTGGGTTTTTTTGTTTGTTTGTTTTTTCTTTTTTTGAGACAAGGTCTCACCATGTAGTTCAGACTGTCCTCAAACTCTTGATCTTCTTGCCTCACCCCCCAGCTCCTGGGATTATAGGCTTATGCCAACATTATTGCAATACATTTCCTAAATGTAAATTTATGACTAAGAATAAAAGGGTCTCCTAAGAACACTTAACAAAAGGAAGTAGGTCTTTTTGTTAGGGTGATTGCATTCTATATGTCTATGTGTCTGTGTGTGTGTGTATGTGTTAGAACAAACATTAAATGAGTCTTGCGCCTAAAACAGATCTGTTTTTCTAATAGGTCTTGGTATCTTGATGGACAGACACTACTAATCATCATTTGTGTTGGCATTGTGCTCCCTCTTGCACTTCTTCCCAAAATAGGTAAGTCTTTGGAAAAGAACATATGATTTTTTTTTAAAGGAAAGTGAGAGAGAGAAGGGGGGGTTGGAGATTAAGAATCTTTTAAGCTTCCTAGTACCATATTTTTAGGAGAAGGGTGGTGGTGGTGAATAATTTTAAACTTGGCCTTGCTTTGGGTTGTCCAGGCCTCAGCCCTGCCTTGTTAACCTATTACTTGGTTTGCAGTTGTATTTTGTCTGCTCCACTAAAATAAAGTCTTTACAGCGGAACATTAAAGAGCAGCCTTTCCTTACAGTGTACCATTAGTGGTAAGCCAGTTTCAATTCTGCTGTACAGAGCTACATAAATGATCTGTGACAGATAGTTGGAATGTTGTTATTCTGAGCCCTAAGCCCCAGATACCAAGCACTGTAATAGAAAACATGCCCAGGATGTATAGCTTTAGTCATAAGTTAGGATCACTTTCCTTATAAATTGCTTTTTATTTTACCTTTATTTTACAGGCTTTCTTGGCTACACAAGTAGTTTATCATTTTTCTTTATGGTGTTCTTTGCTCTTGTGGTAAGTTTCAATTATAATGCTTTGCTTATTTTGTCACTAAAATGGGACTCGTGTTAAAGACTTAATTCTGTTTTGTGCTGTGCAAGGGTATCCCATTTTGTATCATTTAAAAGCAGTTTTTTATGAAAAAAATTAACTTGTTCACAGAAATATTTGTTACATCCATTTTGAAGAAGTTTAGAACAGCATTTCAAATTTAGTCTCCCTTGTGGTTAACTAGAGAGGAAAGCACACCACTTTTGGTGACGCTCCAGATGGAGTAGACTGCATGTGTAGGTACATGACCCGTGCTCTGTGGAGAATCACTAGAGCTCTGAACTATCTGTACTATCAGTTTAACACCAGACATCTTAATTTTGAAACTTTATTCCATTAATGAAATGAGAGTTTCTGACACTTGATGATTGAAATCCTCTAAGGACAACTGGGGCATATGAATTTAATCCTATAAACTCTGGTTATTCAGCATAGAAATGTTCTTGTAAAGATAGTATTGGGAATACTTTTCTTCATTTGTGGAATATATTCTTTTAAACTGTCTTATTTTTTATACTAGAAAAATATCAGGTAATTAATTTCTCTTATATTTATAAAATATGCTAATATAAGGATAAAAGGAGTTTGAATTTATGCCCTTTTAATTCTTCTAAGGCAGATGATACATTATATACAGATTATTTTAAAAACTTTTTTTCATTGCATAGTCATTTATTGCATAGCAAGTATCTAAATATTAAACCTTAACTAGAACTAAACATTTTAGATTTGCCCAAAAATATACATGTCCCAAATATCTGTCTTTTAAACATTTAGGCTCCTCTTTAATACTTGATAAATGAATCAAGGAAAAATTCCACACATAAGAACAAGACAGCACATCAGTAGTTAAGCCAGGTTATAAAGCCGGACGTCAACGCTGTCAAAACAGCCTCTGAGCTGGGGTGATAGTTCAGTCAATAAAATAATTGCCTTGCAAATATGAGGGCTTGAGTTAGACTCCCAGAACCCATGCAGAAAGTTGGGCACCATGGCACACGCTTGAATGCCAGTGCTACGGAGGTAGAGACAAGTAGCTCTCTGGGGCTCTCTGACCAATCTGGCCTTCGCTTACTCAGTGCTCTCAGTGACCAGCCTGGCCTACTCCTACTCAGTGTTCTCTAGGCCAGTAGGTGAGATCTGTCTCAGAAAACAGGGTGAATGGCTCCTTGGGAATCTGGCCTTCATAGGTATATACACACATGAGCACATACTGCTGCCACACAAACATGCAGCCACATACACACATCAATCAGTGTTGTATTACATTTATTTTCAGTTAAACCATCTTCTGAGACACAGGACAAAACAACTTTAAATTATTTAAAAATAAGTGCAAGTGACCCTGATTTCACTTTCAATAAGCATTTATATTTGAAGGAGTGTTCTGGAGACTATGAAAATAGTAACAATATTTGTATTCAATCATTTGTTGAATTTACATTAAAATTATCCCTTCACCCAACCCAGTTGTCTGACTCAGGTCTTCCAAATAATGAACTGAATATATAGTTTTCAGGCTTCATTTTTAAGAGAGAAATAGTAAATATTTTCATCATTAGTTGATTGTTGAGAAGAATCTACATGGTTAAAAGGTGTCCTGCATACATATAGAAATGCATGGATCTTAAAGAAAATGAGTATCAATAACATGCTGCGTTTCCCTTTCATAGATGTAAGTGGCCAGCCAAGCATTTCATAGGTAGGAGTGACTTAGTTCTCATAGTCAATAACTTAAAGCAGGTGGAATGTATTGCTATGATGTGTCTGTTACAGTTCTCATTTCTGTCATAGCTGATAAGTTTCAATCCAGTACAGATCTCTGCAGTAGAAACCTTATGAAAATAATGCCCCCATTCTGTATTTATTGTAATGCTTACAAATCTCAGAGGTCAGAAGAGGGCATTGGATTCTCCAGAAACTGGAGTTACGATTGTTGCCACTGTGTGGGTGCTGGGAATCGAGCCTGGGTCATCTGCAAGAGCAACCAGTGCTCTTAACCACTGAGCCATCTCACCCTCCAGCCCCCTAGATCCTTATTTTCCCTCCCTAAAATATCTATATTTTTTAAATAAATTTCATTTTAGCTATAGTGCAAAATGACAATAACCAAATGCCTTTACCCTTTTTTTTTTTGTTTTGTTTTAAACTTATCTTTTGGTCACCTTGATACCCAAATACATTGACATTCTTTCCAAAAGTTTTGTCTTAAGTACAGATTAGTATTTTAAGTAGTATTTCAATAAGTCAATATCAAAATTCAGAACTTTTTTCAGATTTTAGGCAGAGCCTTTCCTTCAACTGAGCACTTTGTTAGGCATGAGGAGAGGTAGACATTTCTCCTCGACACCACAGTCCAGACAGTCTAGTAGGAGAGCTCTGTCAGTCTAGGAGAGTGAACCCCAGCTTGTTAGAAAAACATGGAGATCAACATAATGAAGTACTGATTTGTCACTTCAGAATAAGAGTCACTGGCGCTGAGAGGAGAGAGGGATTACTGAGCGCTAAAGAGGGATTTGGAAGGGATTTGAGCTGGCCTGGAAAGAAGGGAAGGACTCGGAGCAGGGAGGAGGAGGGGGGGCCTTTTGTGCAGTGGATAAGTATTTTTAATACTTAACCTTGTTTTTTTTTTTTATCTTTTCCTCACCCAGAGTTATTTTCTTACCATGTTTTGTCTTTAGCCCAAGCAAGAACTCCCTGTGGCTCTTTCTTCTTTGCTGTTAGGTCTCTGTCCATTCCTCATCTGCATTTCTGCTTTGTAGGACAGCATCTCTGGCAACCCCATTCCACCATGCAGGTTTGAAGGTGGGGTGGACCTTCGCACAGAAATTAGCTATAGTAACTGAATTTATGTTAATATAAAATCAGGTTCTAATCAATGAAATATCAGTTATGTTGTATTTTGGAGCACTATTTGCAAAGGTTTTGATTTGAAGGATTGTAAATAGCAGATGACAAAGAGAGAGAGACAGTAGAGCTCATGTGTGGAGCTTATTAAGGCTAGTTTAAGAGGCAGAGACCTGGTACACAGCAAGTACTCAATAAAGGCACCAGTTAATAAGGATAAACTTGAGATACTGAATTTGGAGCAGCACCAGAGATAGACCAGAAATGGCCTTGCTTTTCTAGCTTCTCCCTCACACTCTGTCCCCTTCTTTGAAACTTTTCAGGAAAAAAAAAAAGGCTAAGCTAAGAGTCTTGCTTTTGATTTTTTTGCTTGGTAAGTTGATCATTCAACTTGATTTTGTATTGAAAACTTGCTCAGAAATTCCATGTTTATCCTTAGAACTCCCTTTTTTTTTTCTTATTGAGATTTTAAATTGTAACTGACTTTTAAGTCCTAAAAGTCTGTGTTTTCTTTAGATTTATTACTGTATAAAATTTTGATTGAATTTGTTAAAATTCCAAACTAGATAAATTCCAAATAGGAATAGAAATAGCATTTACTTACTGGTCTCCTACAAAGGACAAATGCTCTCTTTATTCTCTCTTGCCCCTTTGTATGCTGGGATTTAGCCTGGAGCAAACATTTACAGAGTAATTATGAGCCTGCAACAAGGGTAACAATGCCAGTGTTGACACAGCCACAACTGTGGGTCTAGGAAAAGGATGGCCACAATTAAGAGTAAAACCGTCAGACATTTTCATTGATAGTTTCTGGGAAACGGTTTCCCTCTAGATTTCTTTTAATTAAAAAAAATTTACTAGCTGGAATTCCCTAGCTCTTCTCTCTCCACAGTCACCAAAAATAATACAAGTCTGGAAAAGTAAAGAGGTGCAAGTACTTAATCAGAAATCCCTGAGGTTGCTCTTTGTATAAAAGTCTACTCATTTCTGCCTGCATTCCCAAAACTGCTGTGGCTATTCTCTGTCTGCTACTGATACAAGAATCATATTCTTATACAATTATCACTCAAAACGTGTTCCCTTTTTGAGTTGTACCTTTTTTAAAAAAAATGCCAAGATACTGTTGGAATTTTGAAAACTGATGCAAAATCTCAGGAGAGATCTCCACTGAACAGACAGATGTAGAGCACCCTCTGCCATGCCCTTCCACATAGGCAGCCATGTTAGAGGCTGACCACATTCTGTCTGGGGGAAAATCATATCAGCAGGGAATCTTCTCTTAGTCACTTGTTTGGCATTATTTAAAGTCATGTTTCCTAGCTGAAGAACTTGCTGGAACTTTATTAGAAATAACCTGAGTGCTCCTTGTATTCACTCTTACAGGTAATAGTTAAAAAATGGTCCCTTCCTTGTCCTCTGACCTTAAATTACATAGAGAAATTCTTCCAGGTAATACTTTTTAGCTTTTTTTAATATCTAACTTTAAACTAAAAAAGAAATGGAAGATGTCCTTTTCTTCCCAATTAATAAAAAAGTAATGGCTAAGTTGCATTTTAGAACTTTGCTTTGAAGTAATTTGATTTGAAAGCCTACTAATAATTTGATTTGAAGCCTAGTAATAATAAATTAATCATTTTGTTGATATATTTTGACTTTTAATAACTGTTGGTTTCTCTTTTTCTCCTCAATACTCTTAAACAGATTTCAAATGCTACAGATGATTGTAAACCAAAGCTCTTTCATTTCTCCAAAGAGGTGTGTAAGTTATTAACAGATACTTTGGGTTGATTTTTCACATTTCAAGTTTTAAGAGATTTGTGTAGCAGGGTCTCTTAGGTCTTTGTACCTGTAACTAGTTAATTTTCATGGAAGTGCTAAGTATAGGATTGCCTACCAGAAGAATAATATTATTAACATAGGGTGGCCCATTACAAAACAGTCTCCTTTCTCTTTTCTTTCTCTTGGCATGCCTTTAAATGGAGCCTGTTTTAAATGGGCCTCTGCCTAAAAGAACAGATTTACCAAATGTCTGGTCTGGCCAATAAGGTCCTCTGTGGATTCAGTCTTCCTGTTGCTCTCTGGACTTGTAAAGCTAAATAGCCAATTACATCAGAAACTCCTCCCCTGTGAGAACTTTGGTACATAGCTAAACAGCCTCATCATTGGAGCAGCAATTGAGTACTGCCAACATACCTTCTGAACAGCATTCCAAAGGGAAAATTTATGATGCTTGGAGCAAAGACTAGAGGATCAGGTCCCTGTGCCTTCTCCAAAAGCCATAGGTACTGGAAATGCCTGCAAGAGCCTGGAGCATGAGCAGAGAAGACAGAAACTGTGACCTGCATGGTTTCTGCTCTGGCTCTTGTAGAAAGCTCGTCTTCCCTGTTCCTGGGCATCTCTGCCTCTATACTTACTCTTTCTGCTGAATGCTTTGTTTGTAGGTCCAGACACCAGAATCTCCTCCACTCAAGCACAATGCTGTTAGTATAGAGTGTTAACGTGGTTATTCCTCCAGACAAAACTTTCCTTTTTATTCCTAGTTTTTAACAAAGAAATGTCTCTCAAGCCTACAAGGGAAGTTACCACATGTTTCACATGGTAAAGACCTCTCTGTGCCTTAAAGATCTAGGTAGGGTAATTGACATGGCAGGAAATTGAGCAATATATGAAATAGATAATTTGTGAATTAAACTCCCATTCCCCTAATCGAGCGCAGGAAACAAAGCTTCTTGGGCATTCCATCCCCAGATAGGTCTTCATCTGGAACTTCTTTTGGTGAGGAGCCCAAGCCAGCTAAAGAGAAGTATTTTTAGAGCAGAAAAGAGAAAATAAATCATCACCATCCATTTGCTAAAAACAGAATACTTTCATTTAGATGGTAACTTTTTCGACTTTATAGTTTTCTCTGGCTCTTGTTAAGTATTTTAATAACTTTTTTTAAATCTTGGGTTTATATATTGCACAGGATTCCATAGAGGTTTTTAGGTATAGAATTAATGATGTTCTCATTTAAGAAGATCATGATCAAAGATACTGGCAGTACAAAAATGTCATTTCTATTTTTAGTATTTATTTGGATTGAGTTAGTGAAAGCAGCTTCAAAAGCATTAGTGATTATTGCTGTGTAGTGTAATAAGATGTATTTAAATCGTGCATGCATTAAGAGTGACTGAAAATTAAATAAAAAATGTTTCTAAAATGTAGCTGTTTTTTATCTTGCCTAAATTATTTTTATATTTCCTAAGCAATGTAGAAGTGGCAACCATAATAAAGAAGCGTGATAGGAGAAGCCAGTCAAAAACTATTCTGACTAATAAAGCCATGCCAACTATCAAGTACAATATTTGCTGGTGACCATAGATGTGTCTCTCTTAAAATAACTAATAAAGAGACTATTCATGAAAGACTAAATAAATCTAATCAAATTGCTTTTTAAAAATAATTTAGTCTGTTGAGCCATCAAGATGGCTCAGTGAGTAAAGGCACCTGCTGCTAAAACTGATGACTTGAGTTCAATTCTCGGGACCCTCATGGTGGAAGGAGAGACCTCCACAAGCTCTCGGTGACACAGGCATACCCTACCTCCCACATACACAAAGTAAATAAAAATGTAATTTTAAAAAAAGAATTGAGTCTGTTGTCAAATAAAAATGGTCTCAGTAGAATAGAATTTAATACTTTTTGTCTTTTTCAACTTTTTTTCAGAGTGTTTATGCCATTCCAACCATGGCCTTTTCATTTCTCTGCCATACCTCAATATTGCCCATATACTGTGAACTTCAAAGGTACTGTAGGATCCTGGAATGTTTTAAATGTGTTGTGTCTTTTTGCTCCTTGTAGCATCCAGTTTTAAATCACATTCTCATTTATGAACCCTTTCCTTTCATCACTGGATTCAAAATGTTAGTTTTGAAAAACAAAACAAAGCAACCAAGAGTTAATCTGTCCATGTTGAAAATGTTTCTGGAAATATCATCTTTCTATGAATCTCAAGTTTATGCATTCTGGTGTGTAGTAATTGATAGACTAGAGATTGACTGAGGAATCTTTCTGACTAGCTTGAGAGATACTTGGGGTTTTTTGTTTTGTTTTGTTTTTACTATTTTTGAAAGAGGGTCTCCCTGTAGCCTCAGCTGGCCTGGAACTCACTATGTAGACCACGCTGGACTTGAACTCACAGAGATCTGCCTGCTTCTGCCTCCCAAGTGCTAGGACTACAGCCGTGCACCCACCACGCCCAACTTGAGATACTTGTTTCTTTAGATATAATTCAGATCACCAATTTTGTCAATTTTGGCTGTTTTTGTCTTTTAGCCCCTCAAAGACAAGAATGCAGAATGTAACCAATACAGCAGTTGCTTTAAGTTTCCTCATTTACTTTATATCTGCACTCTTTGGATACCTCACTTTTTATGGTAAGTGTATTCTTTGATTATAGGTGACAAAGGACATACAGATGATCGCACAAATGACTGTAATTTTTTTCTGCCTTTCATTAGTAAATTAATTGGTTCATGCCACATTTCAGTATTGTGGGAGCTCTTGTGGCCTCCTTTTTATCTTAGAAAGGTAAATCAAGCTTAAGAGTAATGACTTCGTATAAAAAAGTTATTTTTTTAAGATTTTATTTTTAATTATGTGTGTATATATATATCTGCGTATCTGAATGTGGGTTTGCACATATGAACACGATGTCACAGAGACCAGATTGAGGGTGTTGGAGCCCCCTGGAGCTGGAGTTAAGGTGGTGTGAGCTGCCTAACATGGATGCTAGAAACTGAACTCAGGTCCTCTGCAAGACCAGTACTTGGTCTTAACCACTGAGCCATATCTCCACCTGGAATTTTTCTTAAACATTTATATAAAATTTAGGGAACTGGAAAGATGGCTCAGCAATTAAGAGCACAGGCTGTTCTTACAGAGGACCTACGTTTGGTTCCCAGCACCCACATGGCACCTAACAGCTGTTGGTAGCAAGTTCGAGGGGATCTGACACCCTCTTCTAACCTCCATGGACATTTCATGACATGGTACACTTACACACATAAAAATTAAAAATAAAAACAATAAAATATTAAAAATTGTATAAAATTTCAAGCTTAAAGCTATTGGTTTTTTAAATTGCATATTCAGTATGTTAGACTCTAGTTCAGAAGCTTAAGAGTTAGGGGAATAAATCATCTTATTAATAAATTGTGAAAGAGCAGTTTGAGAAAGGAAAAGATCTTACAGTATGTTCTAATTATTCGCTGAGCTGTCAGACACCTCTGCCTCTAGACTTCCTTCTCACAGTGTGTGATTAAGCAAGTGTACAGCCTTTGATGCATCAGGGCCTTTCTCCTTGATTTTCTTTCTTTTTTTTTTTTTTTTTTTAACCTTTTTGAGACAGGGTCTCCCTGTAGCCCCAGCTGGCCTGGAACTCACTATGTAGACCAGGCTGGCCTTGAACTCACGGACATCCGCCTGCCTCTGCCTCCCAGGTGCTGGGACTAAAGGCATGCGCCACCACACCCGGCCTCCCTGATTTCTTAATGACACTTGTAGATTTTATAAAGTAAAAGTAAGATTCTCTTTATTTTGGAAATTTTTCCTGTGTTGTATGTTGGGTTCTTCAACAAGAACTTCAGACAAAAGAAAGAAAAAAGAAACAAAAATATAAGCAAAGTTCACAAACAAGCACACTCCACTTAGTTTTCCCAATTCTTAATGTATTCTTCAGATAATAAATGCTTTTACAATAACTTCAACTCAGTGGTTGTTCTGCTGGGGTGACATTTAGTTGTTAGTGACTCATCTGGCTTGATGGGTTTGTACACATTTCAGGTTTGAGCCCTGGACCCATTGAGAAGAGTACGGGTTTGAATCCAACAAATCTGGTTCACATAGCTCCTCTACCCTCACTACCTGGATGACCTTGAAGGGAAATGTCACCTTGCAGTATCTCATCTACTTATCTGTAACATGGGGATAACTGCAAAGGTTATACAGAGGCAGAAATCAGTTCTGTGTAAAATGCCTGTTATACTCTTTGGCACATAATAGTCCTTCCTAAATGCTACTTCTAGCTGTATATTACTATCATCATTATTATTGTAATTTGCTCATAATTTCAGGATCCTTTTTAACATTATGCTTCTAATTAGTTTTCTGGCTGTATGTATACTCAAGTGCATGTGTGTACACATGTGTGGAGGTCAGAGGACAACCTTGAATATTGTTCCTCAGAAGCCATCCACTTTGGTTTTTTTCAGATAAGGTCTCTCACTTGACCTGGAACTTACCAAGTGGACTAGACTAGCTAGTCAGCAAACCTAGGGAAACTGCCTGCCCTGCCTCCCCAGTGCTGGGGTTACAAAAGCGTGCCAGCACACCAACTTTTTTTCTAAAGCATTTTTTTTAATTTAAAGATTTATTATTTTTAATTATGGCTATATGGGTGGGAGGTATATGTGACTACAAGTGCCCACGGAGGCCAGAGGTGTTGGGGTGTTAGTCCTTGGAGCTGGACTTAGTTTGTAAGCTGGGAACAGAACTCAGGTCCTAAGAGAGCAAAACACAGTCTTGACCACTGAGCCATCCCCCCAGTCCCACCTCTTAATATTTTTAAGAAAACAATTAATTTAATTTAACAGTTTAAATAGGATAGTTACAGTTTATGTTGTGTTACCATGAAGATTACTGCATGAGAGATAATTACAGTTTTATATATTCCTTATTTCCCTGGCTCTTGTTATGTTACTAGTAATAAAGGCCATTCCACTAAGCTAAGTCTTGAGTATTACACTGCTATAGAATGAGAGAAGCAAGAGCTCGGAATACACTATCCAGAAAAGCATTATTTCCAGTTTGAGCACAGTGCCCTGCCCAACAGCTGTAACAACAGGGAAAACAGATTGTCAGACTTTTTTGAACAGCAAGAAAACAAAATTTTTGAAATACATGTGTTGTATTTTTGGTTGTTGGGTTTGTTAGTTTTTAAGAGACTTGTGAACTTGGACTTTTCTGCATCACTAAGATACTGAAGCTGGAATTCTTGGTGTACAGAAAGATAGAGTGCAGCAGAATCACTGTGCATATATTGTTTAAATTCTAGTTGTCACCTAATATAAACACTACTGATGATCACTTACCTGAAATTCTTAGCACTAAAAATGTTTCAGATTTATGAATCTTTGAGATCTTAGACTATAGGCCTGTTGTGCCAGTGAGTTTTGAATTTCAGAATATTTCATGTTTTGAAATTTGAAACTAGGAATACTCAACCTGCATTATTTTTAGGAATCTTCAACACTGAGAAAAGTCCAACAAGTACTGATCTCCTTCTCCTCCCTGGAGATAAGTAGACTACCTGGAAGAAACCTCCAATTACCAATACTAGGATGACTGAGAAATAGTCGTGTGAACCCCAAGAATGATTAGGTGCTTAGGAGCTGTATTAAATCATAACAAAGAAAGCTTATAGTAGAAGGGAGGTAGAGAGGGTTGAAAGCTGACATACTTGGTGAGCTAACATTTTAACAAGTGTCAGGTATTTTACATGTATTGCCTCACTTAATCCTTACAACAACTTGGATACGTTTATTTAGGCTGAGTAGTTAGACCAGTACCTTCAGATAATAAATAATGGAACAGAGGTTTGAATCCTATTTGTCTTTCTCCAAATCCAGTGCTTTCAACAATATACTGCCTTCTAAATTAAGCTGTAGAACTCAAACAGTTTTCCTTCATCCTTAAGTTCTAGTTAAAATGAACTTTTGGAAAACCTGGCTCACTTAAGCCTCTGTCTTATCTGTGTCTATCTGTTTGTCATCCATCCATTGTTATTGCTTAAACATGAATCTCCAGGTTTTCAGTATACAAATGAAATGTTTCCTAGAGAGGGATTTACCTTGTTATCAAGTAAAGCTGGTAGGGTGCCTCTAATTTATTAATCCCTCTTCCATAATGCCAGTTCTTTAGTGTCCAAATTTTATATAATGGAGAAATGCTCAGCTAATAAAAATCATATGGTAATAGGTGATAACACCTCCAAAGACAGAAGGCGCAGATACTGATTTGTTCCTCACAGGACCTAGGTGCAGTTCCCAGCATCTACCTGGTGGCTAACAACCATCTGTAACTTCAGTTCCAGAGCATCTGACTCACTCTTCTGGCATTTCATGCACATGGTACACTTACATACATGCAAGCAAAACATTCATACACATAAAATAAAAATAAACCAAAAAAATTTAAAAACCTGTCTTTTTAAATTGTCTAACTAGAGCTGTCCGTGATAAAAGGAAATTCCTAGTTGAGCCTATTTTTGTCTAGCGACCTAGCCAGAAGTTTAAGCTTTTAATTTTTTTAATGAGTAGTTATAGCCTAGAGAGGTAAAGTAGCCTGTCACACCAAAAAGGGCGGCATTCTAAGCACCAGCCAGTGTTTTTTCTGCTGCTTGGTGGAAATCTTCATGAACTCTATATGGGTATCTTCAGCAGGCCACCTGATTCAGTAGTACAAATGACTTGCAGTGATCACCATCAGGTCCTTGCTGAGATTTGTGAATTTGTCGGAGTCCAGAGAAGTGTGGTCCTCTCTTTTCATGTTAAGGCTCAGCCTCACAGGATGGCTAACTTGGAAGGTTTTCACCCTGGGAAAATAGAAAGTAGATGTGGGATATCTATAGTTCTGAGGGCTTCTGGAGCTGCTTGGAATCTTTTTATTCATAGCTTTAAGGTTTAGTTAATATCTAGGTTCTATTAGATAAAAGGGATCTGTAAATATCTACCCACATTTAACAATATTGGCTCTAGTTACAGATGTTAAAGAGCAAAAGTACTCCTTGGTGAGCAGCTCCGTGCCCAAATATTGCATAATAACCAGGCGATTTTAATGTCTACAAGGTTGTTAAGCAAGAAGTGTTAATAGCTCCTTTTATGATTCAGAAAATGGAAATAAAAGTTTGCTGTATTTCTCCAAAGACTTACAAGTATCTCACAGGTTTAGAAATAGAATCCAGATTTCTTGGTTCTTCCCAGTTCTTCTACTTAGTCTGCTAGCTCTGCATTGCATAAACCTTGTCTATAGCATCAGAGATGATTCTTCCCCCCTCCCCCGCCCCAATCTATGATTGGTAGTGTAGTTGAGTTTCCCTACTTCTTGGTGCTTTTGAGGGCAGCTTTCTGTTTGCTATGCTTCAGGTGCTTGCCTTCCAGTCTGTCATTGTGTGTGATTTGGGTCATAGCACACACCTCTTAGTCACAGTCCTCATTGTTGCAGCAGCATACCTAAGCAAAGCAACTTAAAGAAGAAAGGATTTGTTTTGGCTAACAGTTCAAGGTTGCAGTCCATCGTGGCAGGGAAGGCACAATGGCAGGAACTGGTCATATCATACCTACAGTCAAGAAGCTGAGAGGAAGAGGGAGGGAGGGAGGGAGGGGGTGGCAGAGAGCAATGAAGGCTTATGCTTAGCTTACATTCCCACCCCAGGGAATGATGCCATCTACCATTGAGTCTTCCCACCTCAGTTAACCTAATCAAGATAATCTCCACAGGCATGCCCAGAGGCACTTCTCCCAGGCAGTTCTAGAGCTCATCAAGTTCAGAACTGAAAGTAACCATCATATCTTCATTAGTCATTACTGCACCCTGGCCTGCAGATGGATACCAAGGCCGAATGTTCAGTGCCATGTGGGCCCTCGCACCTACTCCCCTCTGCTCTCCTGCATACCGTATCTCAGTGCTGATGGGAACATTCACTTTCTTAGACACATATTCCCTTTGCCACTTCAAGCTTCTGGTGCTACATCTTGCTTCTAGAGTCATTTCTCCCACATCTTTGAATGTCAGCACATGTAGGGACTCATTTCATGTGCTCAGTAAGTAATTCTTTGGGTCCATGTGTTAGGAACTAAGCCTCAGGAGTTACTGGTAAGTACTGGGATTTGAACATTATCTTGTCTCAATTTAGAATTATCAAGCGCTCTTTTTAGACCTGCCTTTTATATATTTGCGTACACTCTTTCTATTATGTCCGCGTGTCCTCTTATCGTGTATGTGCGTACACACTTTCTATTATGTCTGCGTGTCCTCTTATCATGTATGTGCATACGCACTTTCTATTATGTCCACGTGTCCTCTTATCATGTATGTGCATACGCACTTTCTATTATGTCCATGTGTCCTCTTATCATGTATGTGCATACACACTTTCTATTATGTCCGCGTGTCCTCTTATCGTGCATGTGCGTACACACTTTTATTATGTCCGCGTGTCCTCTTATCGTGTATGTGCGTACGCACTTTCTATTATGTCCATGTGTCCTCTTATCATGTATGTGCGTACACACTTTTTATTATGTCCACGTGTCCTCTTATCATGTATGTGCATACACACTTTCTATTATGTCCGCATGTCCTCTTATCGTGTATGTGTGTATGCACTTTCTATTATGTCCGTGTGTCCTCTTATCATGTATGTGCATACACACTTTCTATTATGTCCGCATGTCCTCTTATCATGTATGTGCATACACATTATTATGTCTGCATGTCCTCTTATCATGTATGTGCATACACACTTTTTATTAGTCCGCATGTCCTCTTAATCATGTAAGTGCATACACACTTTCTATTATGTGTGCGTGTCTCTCATCATGCATGTGTGTACACATTTCCTATTATGTCTATGTGCCCTCTTATCTCCTCTTCAGATTTTTAAGTCCCTTCAGAACAGAGGTACATTTAATTTTTCTATTTCTTCCAAAGCATTCTTTCTAAAACCCATACTCTCACATTAAAAAGCACCATTCTATTTTGAGTCCAGATTGATCTTTGTCCACAGGTACTGAGGTGTAGTGTTTTTGAACACCCTCACTCCTCCTCAGGTGTCCTGGGTGAGGGAAACTATGTGACTAGAAGGAAACTGTGAAGCAAAAACTGGTCAGTATCTATCATTCCTGTCCCTGGTTGACACCCTAACTTGCTGAACAAGCTGTTTCCCTAATACTTCATCCTCTCTTTTATGAAAAATGAAAGTGAACAAAGCTGGTAATATGCACAAAACACTATGAAATCTTAGAAAACATTGTAGTATTTAAGGAAGACTTTACCACAAATCATGAGGTGTTCTGCTCTGGCCCTTCATGTTATCTTAGCACTTTTGAGCCCGTCTATCTCATATTGTTACCATAAGGACCAAATTCAGCAGTGCCCATGAAAGCAGTTTACAACACAAGTGTTCAAACCCTTTCATTATGGACAAATTCTAAGGGTTTTTTTGTTTTTGTTTTTGGGTTTTTTTATTTATTAATTTTTATTTTATGTGTATGACTGTATTGCCTGCCTGTATGTGAGTGCACCCATGTCATGCAATGCCGCAGAGGTGAGAAGAGGGCTTCAGATTCCCCTGGAACTGGAGTTAAGGATGGTTTATAGCTGCCATGTGGGTGCTGGGAATTGAACCCAGGTCCTCTGCAAGAGCAGTCAGTGCCCTTAACCACTGAACCATCTCTCCAGCCCCAGTTTTTTGTTTTGTTTGATATAGGATCTCACTATGTAGCCCTGGGCTGACCTGTAACTTACAGAGATCCACCTGCCTCTGCCTCCCCAGTGGTTTGATTAAAGGACTGTATCACCATTTTCAGCTAAGGAGATTTTTTTTTAATCTTTGAAAAAATTTTTTTACATTTATTTTTATATAGTGGAGTGTTTTGCTTGCATGTGTAAAAGTGCACCCAGTATGTTGTGAATTGCCAGCAGATGCTAGAAGAGGGCATCAAATCCTCTGGAACTGGAGTTACAGTTGATACCTGCCACATGGGTGCTGGGAACCAAACCTAGGTCCTCTGGAAGAGCAACCACTACTCTTAACCCACTGAGCCATCTCTCCAGCCCCTAAGGAGATTTTTTTTTAATATTTTATTTATTACTTTTATTTTATGCGTATGCGTGTATTGTCTGCATGTAGGTAAGTGCACCTGTGTTGTGAAATGCCCACAGAGAACAGAAGAGGCTGTTGGATCCCCTGGAACTGGAGTTATAGGCAGTTGTTAACTGCCATGTGGGTGCCGGGATTCAAACCCGGGTCTTCTGCAAGAACAACCGGCGTTCTTAACCGCTGAGCCATCTCTCCAGCCCCCTAAGGAGATATTTTTAAATACAAATTTATTTTCCAAATTTTGGAGGTTCTGCCTGTCCTGGTTTAAAAGTTCACCAGAAGACTTTTTAAAAGTGTATATGGGCTGGTGAGGTGGCTTAGCAAGTAAAGGTGCTTGCTACCAAGTCTTAGGACCTCAATTTGATTCCTAGGACCCACATGGTGGAAGGAGAGAACTAACTTCTGAAAGTTATCCTCTGACCTTCACACGTGTGCTGCAGCACGTGCACAGCCACACCCATAAATACATAAAAAATAAATGTCCCAAGACCCATGGAAACTCAACCAGATAAAAACCAGCATAGAACTGGGGACATGGACAGGAGGCCCCAACCCTAGCAGAGGACCTATTGGCAACTGATCATTGCTGGGTGAGAGATGATCTTTAAGGGAGCAATGCTAGATAGGCTGAACAGGCTCCAGCAGATGAACTCACACTGAGAGACAGCTGGGTACACAACTTGACTCCATAGGCTTTAACATAGGAGACAGAATGTGTGAAGTCCTGTGGGTGGGCTATGGGAGGGGTGCAGATAGGGGAGGTCTAAATATGATTTAAATGTATGAAATCCACAAAAATTCAATAAAATATGCATTAAAAATAAAACCTTCAATAAAAAAAATTAATGAATAAATAAAATAAATTTTTAAAGGCGTATACATCTTAAGAAAATGTCTTTGTATTTCATAGTATAGGAAGAAAAAGGCTAGAAATGGCTTTGAGAATGGGAAGTCAAATCTATTAAGATCCATTAGTGCAATGGGAAATAATTTTGCGGTTGTTGATATTTTGGTACCTAGTTTATAATGTGATCTTTATTTTTTTTAATTTACAGACAAAGTGGAGTCAGAATTACTACACAGTTATAGTAAATATTTGCCACAAGATGTTGTTGTCATGACTGTGAAGTTATGCATACTGTTTGCTGTGCTTTTGACAGTGCCTCTAATCCACTTCCCTGTAAGTATGCGGAAAGGTTTTTTGTTTAGCGTATGGCTCCCTAACATGGCAACACTAATTCTTTGCAGATTAGAACTTTTGGATCACATCTAGTCTTGTGTATCTTACTCATTTGTCAAGTCATTGATCAAAGACCTCATACTTACATTTGGTCTCATGAAAGAACAAAAATAATAGTGAACCTCTAAGCTAATTTGTGCTTTCTGAGATTTCGTTTAGATTTACCTCTCTCCCACAGCATTGTTTCCAATTTAGAGACTGTAGTTCTAAGGTTTTGGGGGTGGGGGGTTTCCTCCTTTCTATATTCTGTTTTCAAAAGAATGTGCATGAAGAGGAAAAAGTCAAGTCAGCAAAAATAAGCTCCTACTGGTTTACTGTAGATTGATTCCACAAAGACATGCTAGTTTAATCTTAGTCAAAATATTCTGTTTGTTCTAGAAAGTAAAGGGCAGAACAGATTTTCATTCCACATCTAGTTGCTATATGTAAGAATCTTAAACATTTCTGAGAAAATGGAAAACATGGCTCTGAGTAGAAATGCTTCTGCATGATGATTGTACCTCAGTGAGCTTTTAAAGGACAGGGCTGTCAGGTCTTTGTGCCCCTCCCTGTGAGACTGCAGGGCCAGGAGTCCAGCAGGGGCTAGATAAACATTTGTGGGCTACGATTGCCTGCTGCCTGCCTTCACAGTGGAAGATGTAGTAAGCTGTTTTTCATATTTACATGCTATGAAGCATAATAGAAAATAACACAGTAAATGGTCTTTCTTTTCCATGTCATGATTTCTTTTTCTGTTGAATTTAATGAAAAGTATTCTTTGTGATTTCATTATACAGTGTTATTGCTGGTAATTTAAAAAGTTATGGAACCTTAAAAAAATTGTCAGTGAAACTTACGTGTGGAATTTTAAGCAAAGTAATGTTTATGAAGCTCACTCAGGAAGGTTTATTTGTATAACACTGTGTAATAAATAGTTTATGGATTAGAATAAAAGATACTCTGTTACTTATACATGTGTTTCTTAAGGGAAATGTTTTGCCTTTGATCCTTCCCCCTGTACCTAAATCTCTTTTTTTCTGCTACACAGGCCAGAAAAGCATTAATGATGATACTTTTCTCCAATTTTCCATTTTCATGGATTCGCCATTCTCTGACCACACTAGCACTCAATATTATCATTGTTTTACTTGCAATATATGTTCCTGACATTAGAAATGTATTTGGTATAGTTGGTAAGTTTTCCATTAAAAAAAATACACATAATGAAAAGACTGGGGGAGGGGACTAAGTGATATTCTCTTCTTAGCATGAGCAAAGTCCTCATGTTTGAGCCCCAACACACAAAAATAAAAGGCATAAAAGTGTTACTGTGCCTCACATCTGAATCTAGCAATAACTTGTTTTTTTTCCCCCTGACTTGTAGGTGCCACTACATCAGCGTGCCTGATTTTTGTATTCCCAGGACTATTTTATCTTAAACTTAGCAGAGAGGATTTTCTCTCATGGAAAAAGCTTGGGGTAACTTGTTTTCATCTGTTTCTTTTAAGACTTCCATTTTAAGATATAATTTGTCATTTTATATTATTATAGCTATGTCAAAAAAAGTCAATATACCATTTGGAGAGGGGGTTTAAGGCAGGGTCTCACTATAGACCAGTTGGCCTGGAACTCGCTATATAGACTAACATTCACCTGCTTCTGCCTCCTGAATGTGGGCCTGTGCCACCATTCCTGGCTCCAGCAATATATCTTAACATATAAAGTTATTTGAAGCCAGGCACGGTGGCTCATGCCTGTAATCCCTGCTCTTAGAAGCATGAGGCAGAAGAATTGCTGGGAATTTGAGACTAGCCTGGGCTACAGGGTGAAACTGTTTCCAAAAAAATAATTACAGTACATTATCAAGAAGGATGAAGTTAAAAAAAAAAATCCTCCTAATTGTTCTTTTATCTTTTTATTTCCACAGGCTTTTATTTTGCTCATCACTGGAATTTTTGTTGGGAATTTCAGTTTAGCACTCATTATTTTTGATTGGAGTCACAAATGAAAGAAACAGTTTTCCTTTTCTTGTTAAGAACAATTTAACTCCATAAGCAGGAAGGAATCATTCTGGAAGGCACTTTATATGAAAAATGCATTTTTATGGCAATTATTAACAGAAAAACGACGCAATGTCAGTGTACAGCAGAAAGTAGGAAAATAGTCATTTTAACCAAAAGAGGAAAACTCACAATGCTCTTAATACTCTTAAGTCACTCTTCCGTTTGAGACTTTTGAAAAATAGCCTTTATAGTTTTAGCGTAGTCTTGTGTTTAGACATTTTGAGGAGAAGGGATTTCATCTACCTCCCTACCCCAACCCCCATGGCTTTTCCTGTTATTGACATCTCATGTCAGTGTAGCATGTATGTAATTACCTGATAATTCCATACTGGAACATTAAAGTCTGCGGTTGACATCAGGGCACGTTCTTGGCAACCACTTTTGAGCTTTCACAATTTAATAGGAGTGTAGTAGTATCTCTGCTTTGTGATTCCTGACGACAGGGTACTGAGCATCTCCTCACATGCTTATATGACCTCTGCACATTTTCTCTGGTAAGTGCCTCCAGCTCTTACCTTTTTTTTTTTTTTTTTTTGGTTTTTTTGAGACAGAGTCTCCCTGTAGCCCCAGCTGGCCTGGAACTCATTATGACCAAGCTGGCCTTGAACTCATAAAGATCCTCCTGCCTCTGCCTCCTAAGTGCTGGGATTAAAGGCGTGTGCCACGATGCCCAGCTTGGTTTTTAAAACTGTGCTGTTTTCTCATTGTTTTTACCATCTCCATAGTTTTGCCTTTTCCAGAATACCATGTGATTGGGATCATATAGTATTATTGTCCTTTTCAGACTGATTTCTTTCATTTAATAGCTCATTTCTTTTTAACACTGAATATTCCATTACATGGATGAACCAGTTTCTTGATCCATTCATCTCTTGGAAGACCTTTCTGTTGCTTCCAGATTGTGGTAACGAGGTGCTAAGAATATTTGTGTGTAGGTTTTTAAAAATATTTTATTATTTTTTTATGTGTATGAGTGTATTACCTGCGTATGTGCAAGTGCACCCATGCCATGCAATCCACGGAGTTCAGAAGAGGGCATTAGATCCCCTGGAACTGGAGTTATGAAAGGCTGTTAGCTGCCATATTGGTGCTGGGAGTTGAACCCGGGTCCTCTGCAAGAACAGCCAGTGCTCTTAACTGTTGAGCCATCTCTCCAGCCCCTTATGTACAGGCTCTTCTGTGACCAAGTTTTCAGCTTTTGGGGTGACTATCAAGGAGCACAACTACTCCATTATAAGGGAACGTTTGGTTTTATAAGAAGCAGCAAACTGCCTTCCAATGTAGTTGAGCATTTTCCGTTTTCCCCAGCAGTGTATGAGCATTCTGTTATCCCACATCCTCACCAGCATTTGGTACTATCAGTGTTCTGAGTTTTCACAATTTAATAGGGATTCCTGATGACAGGATTTCAGCATCTCCCCACATGCTTATATGACCGCTACATATTTTCTCTGCTATGAGCCTCCAGCTCTTGCCTGTTTTTTAATTGTGTTGCTTTTCCATTGTTGAGTTGTGCACATTCTTTGTATATGTAGATGCCTATCTTTTCTGAGATAATTGGTTTACAAATATTTTCTCTTAGTCTGGGCCTTGCCTTTCCATTCTTACAACAGTCTTTCACAGAGCTAGAGTTTTTGATGTTAAATATATAAAATCAATTTTTGTTTTTAAAGAAATCGATGTATTTGATTCTTAGTGTGTGGGTTAATGTTGTCAGCATCAATTACTAGTAACAAAACTAAGATCATTCCACTTGGTATTTGTTCTTACCCCCAAATCTTACCTGGGATTTTCCTCCATTGTTCATTATGAGGTTTCCCTGTTACATATCATGTAGATTTGAAAGTTCTGTCCATTTTCTGAGTTTGTCACTAAAGCGTGTGACGTTCTTGGCAAACAGACACATACTGATCATTTTTCTCATATTTTCTTTGCAAGTTGTAAATCATTGCTGTTTGCCTATTGACATGAGTTCTGGTTGGCCCCTGGACCTCTCAGTAAAGGGCCACATGTTTATCAGCCTGCTGAAGCAAGGGTGTGACCATAAAAATGTCATCCTACCCCAGGCTACATGTAAAGTAGGGAATTACATGCAAAGTGATAATTTGCATAAATGAAATACACACCTTTGCAGGTGTTCTCTTGCTTCCCGCTTAGTAAAGATGCTGGAAAGTTGGCAACAGAGCTTCTCTTTTGAAAAGATCAAAGATACTTTGGCAATTTGAGAACAGTATGGTAAAATGGGGAAGACCAGTCTTTGGATTAGAAAGAACTGGATTCGGATGTCAATGAAGGCATACACCTCTTAACCTGTAAGCCTCTACTTTCAACTCTGTGAAACGGAATTAATACCTATTTACAGGGCTATGTTGGGAGGATTAAATGGCCTTCAATGAATTAGATGCAAACAAAATCAGGCTTTCTTAATAGACGTTTATCCCCTTTCTCTGATTCTGTATTTGGACCTGTTAAATAAAATTGTTTTTAAAAACTAGTCTTGGATTTTTCATTTTCCATCTGGCACAGCTTTTACCTTCTGAATCTGTCTGTCCTTCACTGACAGGGCCCCAGAAGCAGTTTTTAGGTGCTTTCCCACAGTTCTAGGCCAGTTGTGCTCTCCTGCTAATGCCTTTCTAAAACTAGGCACTTAGCAGGATGCCCTGGGCACAGTCAGGCACAGCCTCGCATTCAACTTCACATCAGGGCCCATCAATCTGATAAGTCACTTGTACCCTCTTTTTCTGTTTATGAAACTATGGATCCACGTGTTCATAGGAGTACAGCTGCTTAAATAAGTCTAACTCTGGCAATACCAAAATAACCCCAAATCTACAACAGACGCAAAGATGCCCTGAGGGCAAATGTTAAGTGTGGTGACAGCTGGGCATCAAAACATTTGTCACCTGCTCATGAGATAGTGTCCTGGGAGGTTTGTCAAGAAGCAAATAACACTTGTAACACTCTGAACAAAATCTAGTAAATATCAAGAAAAGTAATTGGTAGAGATGGTCGATTTTATTTTACTTTAGTGTTCTGTCTTACCAGCTGCCTGTTTGAGTCCCATTTTCTGTGAGTGTGGAGGAGGCTCGTGAGAAGGCTGGAGAGTGCAGTGCCCTCTTCATAACCTTGTTTGAAAACTCCAAGCATTTTTCTAGGAAATACAGGCTTTCTCCTTATGTGTTTAATGTTCATAATTTATTAGCTAATAACTATTTAAAATAAAACTAAGAAAAGCACAAAATATATACTTTTCTAACATTTTGAGACTTATTTGCTAAATTAAAAGTCAAAATGCCAATACTATAAATTACTTTCATATGTTGAGAGTGAATGTTTAAGTTGTACTTTTTTTTTTTTAATGAATGTGTACTCATGAGCTTAGCATTTAAATGGTTAAAACAAGCCTTTGAAGTTAACACTCCATTAAGATGAATGGGGGCAATTCACACCTCTGCTGGGGCTGTGTTATTTCAGTCTGGCTGTGGAGAAAACAGGACAGCAGTGGGTTGATTTACTGTGTGAAGGTCCTTTAAACACCCCACGTCTGGAAATCTTTGTTTTATTTATTTATTTTTTTCTTTTTCCACCTATAAGCAGGATCTTAGAGTCACCACCATCTAGGTATAGAACTGAGGTCTTGAAAGTACCGTAGACTGTCTGCTCTCTGATTCTGTGTGTGCCATTTGATGGGTAGAAGCAAATCGGCTCAAGCTTGTAGTCCCCATGCTAAAGTCACCCATGGAAAAGTAGAGGTGATCCATTTTCAGGTAAATTTCACATGCTTTCATTAGGTTAAGAGCTAAAGAACTAATTTAATTGGCTGTCTTGTGCTCTCTAAAACCTTACTTTTGCAAAATTCTGTGTTCTTGTTTGCCTCTATAGAAAGATCTACCTTAAGAACCTTTTTCTAGGCCAGAGAGATAGATTCAGAGGGTAAAGGTCTTTGTCAGGCATGCCTGAGCATCCAGCCCCACACACGCTGTGGTGCTCACACTGCCTCCCCAAATCACATACACACTAATAATAAGTCAAGAGCCTTATTCTTTCCCATGATTCTGGAGTGGGGCTGTGAACGGAGATCAGCCAGGAAGAACTCTTCTTTTTCAGTGCTGTTTTATACTTGAAATGTGTGTTCCATTCATTGGAGGTTCTATATTCATTTGACCTGGAAAGGATTCATTTTAGAGCCTAAGAATGAAGTGTTCTTAACACGCATAAAAATGACTAACATTGTGTGATATGTTCATGAGTTTGAAAGACCTCTTTTTAATGTGGACAGGTTTTTCCCCTTTCTCTGTCCTGCATGTTTGCAGGATCAGGTTACTAGGTAATCTGTGGGGAGCCGGGTGTGGAGTGTTTCTGCTCTGTGTAGTGGAGTACAGAGAAAAGGATGGTGGCTGGAACAAAGGGACCCGGGCTGCATCACTGTACTCTGAACAGTGCCTGCAGCTGTGTTGGAAAGGGCCCATGCTAAACATAGTGCTGAGACATTTGTTTTCTAATTTTGATAAATCATTCAGTCTTCTACCAGTCATCCTCTTGTAGACCTTCTGTAATGAGGCAGTCAAAACAAGAACACAAACTTTCTTGGTAGATGGGTACAGACACTTGGGACGTGGCTTCTGCAATGTTCTTTGTCTCCGCCTTTCTCTTCCTCACTCGTCTGACAGGTGCTTTTACCCCGTGACCTGTTGTCCTGACTCACCGGGCTACTAGTCTAGAAGAGCAATTAGGAACAGCAGAGAGACTCTTTTGGCTGTTAGCCAAGTGGACAGGTGGGAGCCAGAGCTCTTTTCACCTGTGGGACAAAGTAGATGGGTGGAGAGGGAAATAGAGTTGCCAGGGTGGGGGACAGATGGCTAAAAAAGACATTGTAATGTGGGATGCTATTAAACAATGACAGAAACCTTACTTGTTTGAATGTTGAATATATTTTTCCAGTGTTCGTCAGTAGACTAGAACACAGCATAAGCAAAGGGATTGGCTAATGAACTCAGCAGATATTTACCAGATTTGTAGGTCTCAGGGATTGTGCTGGTCCTGAGAGCATAAGACTGGATAG